TGTTTCACTTTCTATGACAAATTACAAGCTCTTCTGGACAGTGCTGGGTTCCATCTACGTAAATGGTGCTCCAGTTCTCCTTCCCTGTTGAAGCGGTTTCCAGATGCTCAAGAAGACCCTAATTACATGGTCAAACTGTCAGAGGAAGACGTTATAAGTGCATTAGGTCTGTTATGGCAACCTGTCAATGACTGTTTCAAATTTGCCATTAAGGACTGGTCATCTCCACCTTGCATGACTAAACGAACATTACTATCTGACGTTAACGGTATATATGATCCAATTGGTTTAATTGTTCCAGTTCTTATCAAGGGAAAAATTTTTATTCAACAATTATGGAGCTGTAAATTAGGCTGGGATGACATGCTATCAGCTGATTTACAATCTAAGTGGAGTGCATTCTACTTGAGTCTCCGTTCGCTTCAATCACTGTCTATTCCCAGATGTATCATCTGCAAATCGTCCAAGGATATTCAAATACATGGGTTTTGTGACGCTTCGCAAGAAGCATTCGGGGCTTGCATATATCTGCGGTCTGTTGAATCCAATGGCTCAGTCACAGTTAAATTGTTCACAGCCAAGTCCAGAGTCGCCCCATTACATCCAACCACAATACCACGCTTAGAGCTGTGTGGAGCTCTGCTACTTGCTGAGTTGTTTCATGAAGTCAAGGAAGAATTGAAACTGTTGAACATCAATTTTAATCCATCTACCACATATCTGTGGACCGATTCTACTATTGTACTGGGGTGGATAAAAAGTCAGTCTATTTTCCAAGTATATGTTTCAAACAGACTAGCTCGCATTCTTGACGTCACAACACCTAATCAATGGTTTCACGTACCATCCCTTGAAAATCCCGCGGACTTGATTTCCAGAGGGGTCAGTGCTGCAGCAATTTTGCATTCTTGTCTTTGGTGGCATGGTCCTAGCTGGTTAAAAGATGCTCAAGACAAATGGCCTATAACTTGTACCCCAGCATCAGATTCGTTACCAGAACTTCGTCAAGTCAAATTAATTTTGGCCACCACTCGTCAAGACAATATACTGTTTGAAAGGTATTCAAAATGGACCCCATTGGTTAGAAACACCAGTTGGCTGTTACGCTTCATACACAACTGTAGATGTTCAAGAAACAAAACTCTTGTTCCCCGAAGTGGTTTCTTAAGTGTTACGGAATTAGAATCTGCTCAGGTGGTCTGGTACCGCTATGCTCAACTGCAGTTTTTTGATGAATTATCCGCTTTACAGAAAAGACAACCAGTGGCTAGAAGTAGTAAAATCAAATCATTAAATCCTTGCTTAGACGCAGATGGTGTAATGAGAGTTTGCGGTAGATTAGCCAGAGCTCCCATATCAGACAAGATAAAATATCCAATTATACTCCCTTCTCAACATAGACTTACCCGAATGATTTTTGAATACGAGCATATTCGACTTCTTCATGTGGGTCCACAGGCATTGTTTGCAAACATACAAACGCGTTTTTGGCCGTTGCGTGGTCGTGATATTGCTCGAGCGACTGTACGTAATTGCAAAACTTGTTTCAAAGTCCGTCCCAGGTTTTCAGCACCGCTAATGGCTCCGTTACCGAAGGAACGTGTAACCATAGAAAGACCGTTTAATCGTACTGGAGTAGATTTTTGCGGACCAGTTTTGATTAAGAGTGGTATAAGACGAGTCACTGCTATCAAATGTTATATTGCCGTCTTTGTATGTTTTGTCACCAGAGCAGTGCACTTAGAGCTAGTCACTGATCTAACAGCGGATGCATTCATTGCTGCACTTTCAAGGTTCATGTCCAGAAGGGGAATGTGCTCACATGTATACAGCGACAATGCTACAAATTTTGTAGGAGCTCATAAGGTATTGACACAGTACTTTGCACTAAGTAGTAAAAACCAACGAGTTGTGGACGTGATGGCAAACCAAGGAATACAGTGGCATTTCATCCCTCCTTCTGCGCCCCATTTTGGCGGGCTCTGGGAGGCAGCCGTAAAATCAGCCAAACACCTCATGTTGAAGACCTCAAAGGGTGCATTGCTTAATGCTGAAGAAATGAACACGTTGCTGTGCAAAATTGAAGCTATTTTAAATTCGCGCCCTATGACATCGTTGTCTGATGATCCTGGTGAATTTAAAGCCCTTACTCCAA